CTACCATAGTCTTCAAAGTTGACCTTAATGCATCCTCTTCTGACATTATCCTTTTGACTCTTGTTGGCATTTCACTGCCTCAATAGGCTGGCTGTTTCCATCTCATAGATGCTTAATTCCTCATAGGCATGAAGTAAAGAAGTAAGCACTTCATTCAAGCAAAGAGATGCTAGGAATTAAGGAGACCAGAGATTGGTTGCTGCAATAATCAATCTTACAACACTTTGCTCTTTTCTGAATCTAGTTCTGAGACTCTCCACGACTTCATTCAGAAGTTTTTCCTACTTTTCAGAAACAAACATGAATCAGAATAAATATGGAAAAGATTGCAAGGTGTCCTGATGTCTTAGGCAGCATATAAGCATAATATTACCATTGTATTACTATATAAGCATAGATGTAGCAGATTTACTCAGGATGACAATATTAAGACAGAAGACAATCATGGCAGCTTCCACAGAGGACTTATTTGATTACATATCCAGAAGGTATCTAGCACATATTCAGGTTATCAATTTTTGAAAACTAAAGGAGAACACAAAAAGAGAGGTGGGTTCCCCTCAGTGGGGCTTTTAGCATCTGTAGTGGGTTTACGTGTCAAGGTTTTGGTAGCAGGGGGCCATAGGGGTGGTTTCTGTGAGAAAGATCTAGAAGCTGCCCCATGCTTGGGAAGGGCCCCATTGTTTTCCAAATCTGAGCCAATAAGCGATGTTGTTTTGCGCCTCTGTGAGAGCATATTTAAGACAGGGAAAAACCGCTGCGCCACACAGCAGCCGGGAGAGTCAAGGGAGTGAGAAACAGCCTTGCAGGTGCCAAGGTCAGTGTAGAAGGAGGGGGAGAGGTGCTCCAGGCGCCGGAGCAGAAGTCCCCTGCGGCCTGTGGTGAGGACCATGGTGAAGCAGGATGTCCCCCTGCAGCCCATGGAGTACCACGGTGGAGCAGGGTTTCATGCTGCAGCCCGTGGAGGAGACCACGGTGGAGCAGGTGGCCCTGCACCGATGGAGGCTGCCGCCTGTGGAAGAGCCCTGCTGGAGCCAATTCCGGGCCGGACCTGTAGCCCATGGAGAGGAGACCACGCAGGAGCAGGTGATCTGGCAGGAGCTGCTGCCCATAGGGGAGCCAGGTTGGAGCAGTTTTCTCCTGAGGGATGGACCCCGTGGTACAGACCCATATCTGGAGCAGTTCTGGAAGAGCTGCTGCCTGTGGGAAGCCCACGCCAGATCAGTTCGTCAAGGACTGCATCCCGTGGGTGGGACCCCACAGCACAGGGGACGAGAGTGACCGAGAAGGAGCGGCAGAGAAGAAGTGCTGTAGACTGACCATAACCCCCATTCCCCCGTTCCCCTGCGCCGCTCGGGGGGAGGAGGTGGAAGAGGGTGGATGGGGGGGGAGGTGCTTTTGGTTTCTTTCCTTTGTTTCTCACTTCTCTAGCTTGTTAGTAATGAGCAATAAATCTTACTATCTGTCTTCTTATGCTGAGTCTGGTTTGCCCGTTACACTAATTATTGCGTGATTTTCTCGTCCTTATCTCAATCCTTGAGCCCCTTTCACATATTTTCTCCCCATTCCTCTTTGAGGAGGGGGAGTGAGAGAGCGGCTGTGGTGGAGCTCGGCTGCCCACTCGAGTGGAACCACGACACTGAGTAGCTGAGAGCTCTTTATCCACGTGGTATGGAGCTAAGTGAGCATCTCTCCCAGACACCAGCCGTGGTTTGCCACAATGCATACAGCAGAAAGGCCATCACATTTTTGAATAGATCAAGGTTTTGAGGCCCCACAGCAGTTTCAAATGAGCATAGTGGAGCCTTCCTGTTACACGTGGAGAGCGTCAGCTGCAAGTGGTGATTTTAGGGATCTGTGAGACCTCTGCCCATTGCATGCCTCCTTATCCTGGCTAACCTCTAATTGCTGTAGTTTATTTCTCCAAAATGGCTCTTTGGCAATTCCCCCTCAGACAAAGTAAGTGTAAAGTTTGTATTAATCATGAGGATTAACATTTATTGGTGCAGGAACACCTTGTAAAGAAACAAGTTCTGCCTTGATGTTCTGGAATTAGTAGTCAATCTGTGTAATTAACAGATTGGCTTGGCAGAAATCGACTTCCTTCCTGTCTCCTCCATACCCAAATGTATAGCACTAACTAAATGTATACCACTAACTAATCAAGCCTTCCTGCACTTTTCTGGATTACAGAGACATTTCCAAATCCTTAACTCTGCATTCCTATATTTTGTGCAGAGGGCGCTCTGCTAGCTCCTTTTTTTCGGAAATGAGATTCACAAGCTACCTGGATCCTCTTTGCAGTTAGGGAAATAATTACTTTACGCAATATAATTTGCTTAAAACCATGACAGTTTTAACTATAGTTTAAGGCTAAATGACTGCTCAGCAAGACAGCTGGTAAAATTCACCCTGTAATAAGACTGAAGCAATGTAAACAAGCCCAGCCCATTTAGGGCTTTAGTTAATATAGATGTCAAATTCTTCTTTCAATATCTCTAAATTTCCCAAGCCATCCGACATTTTCCTCCTCTATAAATGTATTTATAATAAATCTCATCCTTTGCCACCTAAATTCACAACATAGCTCTGTCCCAAATCCCTATAATCGATTATGTTTGAACATAAATTAACCTCCAGTGAAACATCATCTAGTTTGTTGAAACACTATAGGTACCTGTGACATAATGTACTGAGGAACTCCTGCTGCAGCATACTTCTAGGGAGCTCCAAGCCTGGCTTTTCTTACAGCTCGGAAAGTGGCTGTTCCAAGTAAAAGGCAGCAAATGACCATGCTTTACCCTTGAGAACATGCCATTTCGTGGGTGTTTGCAGTGGGGCACGCTCCAAAGAAAGCTGAGGGGATGTGTTAGTAAGAGTTAAGTGTGTGTATACCTGCTCTGCTGAATTGTGCTCAGATCTTAGAAAACTAGAGTCAGTTAGGGCTGACAATCAAACTGAGTTTAGGCACGAGAGATTGAAAGAGTTTTTCTGCTGCGACTGTCGTATTTTTAACAAATGGGGAGGCCTAGGACTAGATTTTGGGTTTCTTGATAGCAGTAGGAAGGCTGGTGTTCCCTTCAGTATGCTTTGGATTAGGTCTTTGACGTGTCTGAATCAGCCAGAAACCAGGGTACCAGGCAAGTGGAAATCATGGCTGCAGAGAAGCCGAGTCCAATTTCGGAAAACTGAATCCATTTCTACACAATGTCCCTACAGACTAAATAATGTCAACCAATTTAAATTGCAACCAGTGGGGAATAATATCTAGGGCCTGATGTCCTCTATGCTGCTCAGATAATAACAGCAATACAGTTGTAATTATGGTGATAATGTTAAAAATTCATTTGCGTTTGCCTGAGTTGTGGTGATTTATTGTTTGATGATTATCTTGCTAGAATTTTGTGGATGGAATAATCTCCCTTATTTACATAATCAAGGCTTCAAAATCTTTACAGCAGGGCTTGCTATCAGCAGCTGGCTCTGCCATGTATCGTAGGATCCCTTAGTTTTTACACCTTGTGTTGCAAAGATCTCAGTATTCATTAGACTATACTGAAAATTTACTGTTTTCTACAACTTTTGTGTAAATCACATTAATATAAGGAGTTGCTCCTGTATTAGTGACAGCTACTAAAGGCAGTTCTGAGGCAGAATGTGTGTGCTGTTGCAAGGTAGAGCTGAGAAGGACAGTTGGAATGATACCTTTGTCAAAAACCAATAAACAAAGAAAAATACACAAAGCATTAAATTCGCAGGCAAGATCTGATATGTGGATATGACTTGTAATACGTGCTTTTGTGCAAGTTGCTGAAACATTAGAAACCATGTGGTAAGTGCTGACTTCGCCTGGGGGATATGCTCCAGGCTCCACAATCCACAGAAATCCTTTGGTACCCCCTGAAAAGCTCTTAGACCCCCTCTCTCCCAGTACAAGCCACAAGCTGTCATCAGCTGCAGGACAAGAAAACCAGGTACATCAGAATTTATGGGGGTGCAGCAACACCACCACATTTGAGAGGCTGCACGGCTAAAATCTACCCTGACCTGGGCCTGTTTACTTCAGCTTAACCGAAGCTTACCATTTTTCAATCAGTTACTTTTATAAAACCTTTAAAATTATTTGTATTTCTCATGACAAGTAGATAGTTAAAATACTCGTTTTCATTAACATGTTTGTAAAATGAAGTGCATTTTAGTATGCCTTCCACTCAAGAAAAAAGAGTCAAGAGCTAGGGATGCACAGCTGCCAAATAGATCTCAGCTGAATGCTTTTTGCCACAGCTGAGCTGCTCAGACACTCTTGTGACCCTGGCAGTAAAAGTTCAAAAACTGCAGCCTGAAATTAAAGAATAAACTGCTGTGGTAGGATATGATATTTCTTTAGAGTTTTAAGAGCAAGTTAGATCAGAGTCTGTAAGAAGATTTGAGAAAGGGCTACCTGACATCAGGCTTCTTTTTTTAACTGTTTTCCCTGTAATAATATTCCCTTTTCTCAGAAATATTTCTGAGGTCAAAGGGATTTTTTTTGTGGAGGCAGTGATATTAGAAATTTCTGTGGAAAATTTATTAACCAAAATATGTATTTTTAATTAATTTGGGGCCACCTATTTCCTGGAAAGGGATGTATAACATGTTCCCGGACAGAACACTTGCAAACAGGCGGTTTTTAGCTTTTTATTTGGCCGGGTGCGCACGGGTTTTCCCAGGGCCCCTCCGCAGGGCGCGGGCCGCTGTGACGGACACAACCCCCTCATAATTGACAGAGTGACGGGCAGGGCCGCGGGCACCTCGGCGCCGCCAGCAACAGCCGTTACCCTCAGAGGCCTCGACCAATCAAAGCCGGCCGCGAGCCCATTTCCACCAATGGGCGGGCGCGATTGCCAAGGCAAAAGTGGCGGGTGCCGTTCCGCGTTGCTATTGGCTGGTGGGCGGGCCGGGCGGGTATATAAGGCTTTGTGAGGTAACCCGTCTGGTCAGTGCATGAGCGGACGGTGGACTGTGCTGCAGCTGCGCGCTCTGCCGGCCTGTCCTCCTGAGGAGATCGCGGTGCGCAGCCCCATCGGGGGGCGGTGAGGTGTCGGTACCGAGTGGGAGTGTGGTGGGGCGGTGTCGGGGGGCTGCACGGGACGATGTGGGGAGAAGAGGAGACGGTGCTGAGGAGCCCGCCTGGGCTGAGGTAATGGAGGGGGGGCGAGCGGTGAGTGAGCAGGGCCGTGCTGAGGGGACTGGAAGGGGCGGCAGCATGGAGTCGGTTTGGGATTTTTGGGTAGGCGCTAATACAACCAATGTCTGTAGGTGTGGTGGGATGGTTGATGGAGGCTTTATTTTTAATTCTCCTGATGAGGTTGTGAGAAAGTTGGAGAAAGCCTTGTTCAGATGTCCCTATTGGCTAACTCTCAGCGATAGCATGGAGGAATGGATGATGTAAAAAAAAAAAAACCAAAAAAAAAAACAAAAAAAGAGTATATGAAAGAAGAAAAACAAGAATGCTAAGAAAAATGCAATGTGTAGTAATTTTTATTTGCTAGATAGCTGGTCTTTAGGAGCAGATACTGGTAGACAGTAATCTCCATTTAAGCTGTATGTTGTTCCTTTGGCAGCAGGTGCTAGGGGAAAAAAAACACAACATAAATCAAAGGGAATGAACAGTATGAATGAGTAAGAAGAGGAGAGTAGCAGCAATGATGAATGAAGGAAAAAACAGCCTGGACAAAGGTACTGCCCTGTCAACAGGTAAGGACTTCAGCTGGTAGCAGCCAGTGCACAAGAAAGAAGACGTGTCATGTGGAACTGTGACGCAACAATGGGTGACAAGAAGACCACCAGAAGACTGAAGAGGGGGAAAAGTAAAGGCACTGCCCTGTCAGCAGGGCTACAGTAAGCAGAACAGCGCTGGCACATTAGGTGCCCGGGTTGGTTTTCTACTGTGTGACCACTCTGTAAGCAAGGGTGCAGGTGCTCAGGCTGCTTCTGTGTGCGCCCTACCCTACTTACCCAGGGTTGGAGCCGCACGGCAGAAGTAGCTTGAGGAGCTCTGTGCCTCAGGATGGTGAGAAAAGTTGATTTAAGTTGGTGTTGGTAAGACAAAGCCAGGGATCCAAACGCAGCTCCTCAAAACAACCACCCTAATGAACACAAACTTGAAAGTCCTCCCCATTTCTTTCTGGCACAGGAGGTGGAGCTTCGAACCCATGTCTAATGGCTTGTGCTTTGTTTGCAGCAGCCAGCGCAGAAGAAGGAGGAGGCATCGTGTGGAACGGCGAGGCAAGAGCGAGCGGAAAGAGGGAGCGGCAGATGGAAGACGGGCAAAGAGGAGGACACCCTGGGCAAAGGCTTCGCCCTGTTAGCGGGGCTGTAGGTAGAGGAGAGCAGTGCTGGCACGTGAGGTGCCTGGATTGTTTTGTGCTGGGCGACCTCCCTGTAAGCAGGGCTTGGGTCTTTGCGATTGTAATCGGCCTTTTGCCTTGTTGCTCCTTTGGCTGCCTGGGGGGAGCGGCCCCCTGTAATCAGGGGCACAGCTGCTCTCTCCGCACCCGGGAGGACTGTGGAGCTTGCCGGACCCCAGGGCCTCCCTGTAGTCAGGGCAGAGCCAATTCCCCACCCCCTTAATTTTAGCCGTCTGGCTCTTAGTCCATCAACATTTAGACTAAATAGTTATGGACTATGGAAACTTAGTATATGACTGATGCCTACGACATAATGCCAACTATTGCATAAAAAGCAATATAAAAGCGATATATATATATATAATATGACCTATATGAATACATGTGAAAACAGATTCTCTAAAGGAGATGAACGGTAAATTCTGATGCATGCTGTGTTTCAGCACCCCGTAGCTGGGGTGCGTTGTCCAATTGGGTCTCGGCAGAAGCCGTTTCGGCTTCTGGACGTCTCTGGCATCACTGTAATTGATGGTGCGTGGGGTACCTGCCCTGTAAGCAGGGTCAAGCGTAGCCCCGTGTCTCTCGCTGCAAGGAGCCCCCTGTAGCCAGGTGGGTCTCCGTGTCCCCCGCTTTCCATGGGCTTGGGGCCACTAAGAAGTAGGGCCGGGTTTTCACCCTCCCTGTAAGCAGGGCTGGGGCCCGAGCCTCGGCATTCGGCCATCTGGCTCCGCTGGCGGGGGGAAGGTTGAGCTCTGCGGTTCCATGGGTGTTGCGGACCCGCCTTAAGCAGGCTTTGGTCCGGAGCCTTTTGCTCCGCTGGCAGCTGTGGGGTGCCTGACCCGTTAGCGGGATGCAGGCTTGTGGATTCCCCACTTTGGGGAGAAGGAGCCTCCCGCGGCCTCTGGGCCCAGGGCAGCCCTGTAACTCAGGGTGCTGATGCTCTGGTTCCCTGGGCACTTGAAATTGTCAATGGCTCCTCGGAGCCCCCTGTAAGGCAGGGGTCCAGGCTCTTGGGCCGTTGCTGTGTGTGCCCAGCTTTCATTTGCCCTTGGTGCCAGCCTTGGAGCCCTGCCGCAGCGCCGCATGAAGGTCCTCTGCGTGTACAACACGGTAAGAAAAGCTGCTTTCGGTTGGCCTTGTTATGGCAGAGGGGGAGGAGGACCTCTGAGGCTCTCCTTGTCTGGGGGGTGGGTGGAGTGGGGCCCTGCCTTAGGGTCTTGGGTTCCATGTTTCTGTCGGGCACAGGAGGTGGAGCTTCGAACCCATGTCTAATGGCTTGTGCTTTGTTTGCAGCAGCCAGCGCAGAAGAAGGAGGAGGCGTCGTGTGGAACGGCGAGGCAAGAGCGGAGCGGCAGATGGAAGACGGGCAAAGAGGAGGACACCCTGGGCAAAGGCTTCGCCCTGTTAGCGGGGCTGTAGGTAGAGGAGAGCAGTGCTGGCACGTGAGGTGCCTGGATTGTTTTGTGCTGGGCGACCTCCCTGTAAGCAGGGCTCGGGTCTTTGCGATTGTAATCGGCCTTTGCCTTGTTGCTCCTTTGGCTGCCTGGGGGGAGCGGCCCCCTGTAATCAGGGGCACAGCTGCTCTCTCCGCACCCGGGAGGACTGTGGAGCTTGCCGGACCCCAGGGCCTCCCTGTAGTCAGGGCAGAGCCAATTCCCCACCCCCTTAATTTTAGCCGTCTGGCTCTTAGTCCATCACATTTAGACAAATAGTTTAGACAATGGAAACTTAGTATATGACTGATGCCTACGATATAATGCCAACTATTGCATAAAAAGCAATATAAAAGCTATATATATATATATAATATGACCTATATGAATACTGTGAAAACAGATTCTCTAAAGGAGATGAACGATAAATTATGATGCATGCTGAAACATCATAATTTATCGGACTTGGGGCCACTAGAAGCAGGGCCGGGTTTTCACCCTCCCCGTAAGCAGGGCCTGGGGCCCGAGCCTCGGCATTCGGCCATCTGGCTCTGCTGGCGGGGGAAAGGTTGAGCTCTGCGGTTCCATGGGTGTTGCGGACCCGCCTTAACCAGGCTTTGGTCCGGAGCCTTTTGCTCCGCTGGCAGCTGTGGGGTGCCTGACCCGTTAGTGGGATGCAGGCTTGTGGATTCCCCACTTTGGGGAGAAGGAGCCTCCCGCGGCCTCTGGGCCCAGGGCAGCCCTGTAACTCAGGGTGCTGATGCTCTGGTTCCCTGGGCACTTGAAATTGTCAATGGCTCCTCGGAGCCCCCCTGTAAGCCAGGGGTCCAGGCTCTTGGGCCGTTGCTGTGTGTGCCCAGCTTTCATTTGCCCTTGGTGCCAGCCTTGGAGCCCTGCCGCAGCGCCGCATGAAGGTCCTCTGCGTGTACAACACGGTAAGAAAAGCTGCTTTCGGTTGGCCTTGTTATGGCAGAGGGGGAGGAGGACCTCTGAGGCTCTCCTTGTCTGGGGGGTGGGTGGAGTGGGGCCCTGCCTTAGGGTCTTGGGTTCCATGTTTCTGTCGGGCACAGGAGGTGGAGCTTCGAACCCATGTCTAATGGCTTGTGCTTTGTTTGCAGCAGCCAGCGCAGAAGAAGGAGGAGGCGTCGTGTGGAACGGCGAGGCAAGAGCGAGCGGCAGATGGAAGACGGGCAAAGAGGAGGACACCCTGGGCAAAGGCTTCGCCCTGTTAGCGGGGCTGTAGGTAGAGGAGAGCAGTGCTGGCACGTGAGGTGCCTGGATTGTTTTGTGCTGGGCGACCTCCCTGTAAGCAGGGCTCGGGTCTTTGCGATTGTAATCGGCCTTTTGCCTTGTTGCTCCTTTGGCTGCCTGGGGGGAGCGGCCCCCTGTAATCAGGGGCACAGCTGCTCTCTCCGCACCCGGGAGGACTGTGGAGCTTGCCGGACCCCAGGGCCTCCCTGTAGTCAGGGCAGAGCCAATTCCCCACCCCCTTAATTTTAGCCGTCTGGCTCTTAGTCCATAACTATTTAGACTAAATAGTTTAGGACTAATGGAAACTTAGTATATGACTGATGCCTACGACTATAATGCCAACTATTGCATAAAAAGCAATATAAAAGCGATATATATATATATAATATGACCTATATGAATACTGTGAAAACAGATTCTCTAAAGGAGATGAACGGTAAATTATGCATGCTGTGTTTCAGCACCCCGTAGCTGGGGTGCGTTGTCCAATTGGGTCTCGGCAGAAGCCGTTTCGGCTTCTGGACGTCTCTGGCATCACTGTAATTGATGGTGCGTGGGGTACCGCCCTGTAAGCAGGGTCAAGCGTAGCCCCGTGTCTCTCGCTGCAAGGAGCCCCCTGTAGCCAGGTGGGTCTCCGTGTCCCCCGCTTTCCATGGGCTTGGGGCCACAAGAAGCAGGGCCGGGTTTTCACCCTCCCTGTAAGCAGGGCCTGGGGCCCGAGCCTCGGCATTCGGCCATCTGGCTCCGCTGGCGGGGGGAAGGTTGAGCTCTGCGGTTCCATGGGTGTTGCGGACCCGCCTTAAGCAGGCTTTGGTCCGGAGCCTTTTGCTCCGCTGGCAGCTGTGGGGTGCCTGACCCGTTAGCGGGATGCAGGCTTGTGGATTCCCCACTTTGGGGAGAAGGAGCCTCCCGCGGCCTCTGGGCCCAGGGCAGCCCTGTAACTCAGGGTGCTGATGCTCTGGTTCCCTGGGCACTTGAAATTGTCAATGGCTCCTCGGAGCCCCCCTGTAAGGCAGGGGTCCAGGCTCTTGGGCCGTTGCTGTGTGTGCCCAGCTTTCATTTGCCCTTGGTGCCAGCCTTGGAGCCCTGCCGCAGCGCCGCATGAAGGTCCTCTGCGTGTACAACACGGTAAGAAAAGCTGCTTTCGGTTGGCCTTGTTACTGGCAGAGGGGGAGGAGGACCTCTGAGGCTCTCCTTGTCTGGGGGGTGGGTGGAGTGGGGCCCTGCCTTAGGGTCTTGGGTTCCATGTTTCTGTCGGGCACAGGAGGTGGAGCTTCGAACCCATGTCTAATGGCTTGTGCTTTGTTTGCAGCAGCCAGCGCAGAAGAAGGAGGAGGCGTCGTGTGGAACGGCGAGGCAAGAGCGAGCGGCAGATGGAAGACGGGCAAAGAGGAGGACACCCTGGGCAAAGGCTTCGCCCTGTTAGCGGGGCTGTAGGTAGAGGAGAGCAGTGCTGGCACGTGAGGTGCCTGGATTGTTTTGTGCTGGGCGACCTCCCTGTAAGCAGGGCTCGGGTCTTTGCGATTGTAATCGGCCTTTAGCCTTGTTGCTCCTTTGGCTGCCTGGGGGGAGCGGCCCCCTGTAATCAGGGGCACAGCTGCTCTCTCCGCACCCGGGAGGACTGTGGAGCTTGCCGGACCCCAGGGCCTCCCTGTAGTCAGGGCAGAGCCAATTCCCCACCCCCTTAATTTTAGCCGTCTGGCTCTTAGTCCATCACATTTAGACAAATAGTTTAGACAATGGAAACTTAGTATATGACTGATGCCTACGATATAATGCCAACTATTGCATAAAAAGCAATATAAAAGCTATATATATATATATAATATGACCTATATGAATACTGTGAAAACAGATTCTCTAAAGGAGATGAACGATAAATACGATAAATTATGATGCATGCTGAAACATCATAATTTATCGGACCTTGGGCCACTAGAAGCAGGCCGGGCCGGGTTTTCACCCTCCCCGTAAGCAGGGCCTGGGGCCCGAGCCTCGGCATTCGGCCATCTGGCTCTGCTGGCGGGGGAAAGGTTGAGCTCTGCGGTTCCATGGGTGTTGCGGACCCGCCTTAACCAGGCTTTGGTCCGGAGCCTTTTGCTCCGCTGGCAGCTGTGGGGTGCCTGACCCGTTAGTGGGATGCAGGCTTGTGGATTCCCCACTTTGGGGAGAAGGAGCCTCCCGCGGCCTCTGGGCCCAGGGCAGCCCTGTAACTCAGGGTGCTGATGCTCTGGTTCCCTGGGCACTTGAAATTGTCAATGGCTCCTCGGAGCCCCCCTGTAAGCCAGGGGTCCAGGCTCTTGGGCCGTTGCTGTGTGTGCCCAGCTTTCATTTGCCCTTGGTGCCAGCCTTGGAGCCCTGCCGCAGCGCCGCATGAAGGTCCTCTGCGTGTACAACACGGTAAGAAAAGCTGCTTTCGGTTGGCCTTGTTATGGCAGAGGGGGAGGAGGACCTCTGAGGCTCTCCTTGTCTGGGGGGTGGGTGGAGTGGGGCCCTGCCTTAGGGTCTTGGGTTCCATGTTTCTGTCGGGCACAGGAGGTGGAGCTTCGAACCCATGTCTAATGGCTTGTGCTTTGTTTGCAGCAGCCAGCGCAGAAGAAGGAGGAGGCGTCGTGTGGAACGGCGAGGCAAGAGCGAGCGGCAGATGGAAGACGGGCAAAGAGGAGGACACCCTGGGCAAAGGCTTCGCCCTGTTAGCGGGGCTGTAGGTAGAGGAGAGCAGTGCTGGCACATGAGGTGCCTGGATTGTTTTGTGCTGGGCGACCTCCCTGTAAGCAGGGCTCGGGTCTTTGCGATTGTAATCGGCCTTTTGCCTTGTTGCTCCTTTGGCTGCCTGGGGGGAGCGGCCCCCTGTAATCAGGGGCACAGCTGCTCTCTCCGCACCCGGGAGGACTGTGGAGCTTGCCGGACCCCAGGGCCTCCCTGTAGTCAGGGCAGAGCCAATTCCCCACCCCCTTAATTTTAGCCGTCTGGCTCTTTGTCTAAACTATTTGTCTAAACGTGATGGACTATGGAAACTTAGTATATGACTGATGCCTACGCTATAATGCCAACTATTGCATAAAAAGCAATATAAAAGCGATATATATATATATAATATGGCCTATATGAATACTGTGAAAACAGATTCTCTAAAGGAGATGAACGATAAATTATGATGCATGCTGTGTTTCAGCACCCCGTAGCTGGGGTGCGTTGTCCAATTGGGTCTCGGCAGAAGCCGTTTCGGCTTCTGGACGTCTCTGGCATCACTGTAATTGATGGTGCGTGGGGTACCGCCCTGTAAGCAGGGTCAAGCGTAGCCCCGTGTCTCTCCCTGCAAGGAGCCCCCTGTAGCCAGGTGGGTCTCCGTGTCCCCCGCTTTCCATGGGCCTGGGGCCACTAGAAGTAGGGCCGGGTTTTCACCCTCCCTGTAAGCAGGGCTTGGGGCCCGAGCCTCGGCATTTGGCCATCTGGCTCCGCTGGCGGGGGAAAGGTTGAGCTCTGCGGTTCCATGGGTGTTGCGGACCCGCCTTAACCAGGCTTTGGTCCGGAGCCTTTTGCTCCGCTGGCAGCTGTGGGGTGCCTGACCCGTTAGCGGGATGCAGGCTTGTGGATTCCCCACTTTGGGGAGAAGGAGCCTCCCGCGGCCTCTGGGCCCAGGGCAGCCCTGTAACTCAGGGTGCTGATGCTCTGGTTCCCTGGGCGCTTGAAATTGTCAATGGCTCCTCGGAGCCCCCCTGTAAGGCAGGGGTCCAGGCTCTTGGGCCGTTGCTGTGTGTGCCCAGCTTTCATTTGCCCTTGGTGCCAGCCTTGGAGCCCTGCCGCAGCGCCGCATGAAGGTCCTCTGCGTGTACAACACGGTAAGAAAAGCTGCTTTCGGTTGGCCTTGTCCTCTTCTCCGTTTGCTGTAACCTCTGAGGTTGTCTTTTTTAGGGTGGTTGTTATGAGGAGCTGCCTTGGGTTTCCTTTTACCTTTAGTTACCAGATTGAGAACTGTGTTGTAAGCTCTAACTGTTTTGCCTTTGGTTTGCAACAGCGTATGGAGAAGAAAGAAATAACAGAATTCTAGGGCTTGGGAGCGACCTCAAGAGGCCATCGCATTCAACACCGTTAGCAAAAAAGGTTCCCTTGATGAAATGTCATAGGGAGGCATCCATACAAGTCAAAAATAACTGCAGAGAAGGTAGCTGAGCAGCCTCGTGCAGTATTCCGTCACCTTCCACCATAGTGGTACAGAACTTCCTCTGCTCCATTCTGTGGCCATTGCCCCTTGTCCTGTCCTCACAGACAGGTGAAATATTCTTGGCCATTTTCTTCTTCCTCTTACACTGCACTTACACTTCCTCTTACACACCACTGTAATTCTGCAGGAAGAGATTTAAACTCAGGTTATTACTAAAACTGAATGGAAAGCAGCTTCCCTGCTGCCCAGAGGAGAAACGATATACACTGTATGAAGCCTGGTTTGGAAGCCTGCTTATTAAAATAGCAATTGGGAACAAAAAAAACTCAGTTTGTCTTGGAGAATTTGGGGATCTTTAGAAACTTTTTGTTTTCTGTTTAATGTCAACCTTTTTCCAAGAAAGACAATAATACAAGCATTTGAAAACCCCACTGTTGCGAAGCACGGCCGAAAGCCCGACAGACACCAGTAGAGTCAGATCATGCTTCACCATTTTATTGCCCGAATAGCCCAACTTTTATAGTGAATTTTACAGGGGTGGACAGTGTTTCACACAAGATTATTGGTCAAAAGCACCCAGACAAACTGTTAAGAAATAATACCACCTTTTGATTAGATGTTAGGAAAACAACCCCCTTTGTGCTTAACGGTCGCGTAGGCCTAGTCCTTGAGGCCAGCTGCTGATAACAATATTTTCTGAGTTCCTTAATTGGGTGATGTGGGAGTCATTGCCGTGGGAGCTTCTCACAGTTACTCTGGCAGCTTGGTTTGCTCAGCTACAGCAGGCCCTGAGATTTCTAAGGCCTACCCCTGGTTGCTTAAAGCAAGCTTAGATCGAACAATTATGCCAATTCCCAACACCCCACCTCTGTCAAAAAGCACTGAAATGGAAAATTTCTAAGTAAACATTGTTATCATGTTATTATTAATGTGATATCCATGATTTCTCACTCCCACTTTCCTTCTCCCTTTCACCCCAACCTCATTCAAAAATGTCATATAAGCATTAAACAGGTGTCTTCCTCCATTTGGCCTTCTTTGAAGTTTGCAAGTGGTGATTTGCTTTATCTATGCTAGAAAAAAAATATTAGCTGGTACTAATAAATAATTCTGCTACAAGATTTCAACCCCGAGGCAGAAGACGACCCTGAGGACACTTTCGTATGGGACCAAAGATGTTCTTGTCCCATTCCACAGTTAAATCTAGACCTCACTGGGAATTTAGCTCCAGTGTGCCTTTCTGACGAATCATGATTTCAGAAGTACCTCTGTTAAATAGCCTGTCTTGTTTTCTGGCTAAAGGAACACTGCTGAATAGCCCTCAAAATGTCTAATTTACCCTCATTGTGGGCTGCTGTAGTGGTTACTCAGTGGACAGCAATGCAGTCCATGTAAAGAGAGGCTTCAGTGGTGCTCTGCCTTGCTGATAGCACTTGTCTGAGCTCCTGCTGCTGGGTGAATTAATTGCTGGATCCTTGTGCAGTAGCATTGTAAAGGAAGCACAAAGATATGATGCAAATTCCATTCTGATGCTATAATGAATGTTTGATGGCAATGTTAAATTGCCACTAGATGAACTATATATAGTGTAAAATGCAGCCTTGCAAGAGGATTGTCCTGGAGAAATACTTGTCTGCAATAAGCTTTTGCTTCCTAATTAAAAACAGAGCGAGTGCCAGCACCGGGTGTGGAGGTGAATCTGATTATATAAAAGAAAGTCACCGGTCAGGCACTGATTTGCAAGGAGAAGCAATCAGAAAGGGACACAGCAATGAACGAAACCAAGCCATTGGTAAATCCAATTTATTATTTTATTTATTAATAATATTAATAAATCCAATTTATTATTTTATGTATTTGCCTGAGTGTAGTGGGTTTACGTGGCAAGGTTTTGGTAGCAGGGGGCCATAGGGGTGGTTTCTGTGAGAAAGATCTAGAAGCTGCCCCATGTTTGGGAAGGGCCCCGTTGTTTTCCAGATCTGAGCCAATAAGCGATGTTGTTTTGCGCCTCTGTGAGAGCATATTTAAGACAGGGAAAAAAACGCTGCGCCACACAGCAGCCGGGAGAGTCAAGGGAGTGAGAAACAGCCTCGCAGGCGCCAAGGTCAGTGTAGAAGGAGGGGGAGAGGTGCTCCAGGCGCCGGAGCAGAAGTCCCCTGCGGCCTGTGGTGAGGACCATGGTGAAGCAGGATGTCCCCCTGCAGCCCATGGAGTACCACGGTGGAGCAGGGTTCCACGCTGCAGCCCGTGGAGGAGACCACGGTGGAGCAGGTGGCCCTGCACCGACGGAGGCTGCCGCCTGTGGAAGACCCCTGCCGGAGCAGATTCCGGGCCGGACCTGTAGCCCGTGGAGAGGAGACCACGCAGGAGCAGGTGATCTGGCAGGAGCTGCTGCCCGTAGGGGAGCCAGGTTGGAGCAGTTTTCTCCTGAGGGATGGACCCCGTGGTACGGACCCATATCTGGAGCAGTTCTGGAAGAGCTGCTGCCTGTGGGAAGCCCACGCCAGATCAGTTCATCAAGGACTGCATCCTGTGGGTGGTACCCCACAGCACAGGGGACGAGAGTGACCGAGAAGGAGCGGCAGAGAAGAAGTGCTGTAGACTGACCATAACCCCCATTCCCCTGTTCCCCTGCGCCGCTCGGGGGGAGGAGGTGGAAGAGGGTGGATGGGAGGGGGGAAGGTGCTTTTGGTTTCTTTCCTTTGTTTCTCACTTCTCTAGCTTGTTAGTAATGAGCAATAAATCTTACTATCTGTCTTCTTATGCTGAGTCTGGTTTGCCCGTTACACTAATTATTGCGTGATTTTCTCGTCCTTATCTCAATCCTTGAGCCCCTTTCACATATTTTCTCCCCATTCCTCTTTGAGGAGGGGGAGTGAGAGAGCGGCTGTGGTGGAGCTCGGCTGCCCACTCGAGCGGAACCACGACAGCATCAAGAATTCTTCAAATAAGGAAATAAATCAACTCTCTGGTATGCACTTTCTAAAGAGAGAATTTTTTATTTTCCTGTGAGTTTATATAGCTAAATCATTATAGTTCATTGTTAAAAATACTCATCGTTTATGTAGTGTTACTGTTATTACTATTGTTATCACTATTGTTGTTATTGCAATTACTATTACAATTATTCCTATTATCATCACATCTTGGAGTCCAGTTATACACCAGGGCATTATTGTATGATATTATTTTCATTTTCCGATTTGATGCTGAGACTTCTCTTTATTCTTTTTTACATCTTGAATACATCATCAGAAATTCACTTGTTCCTAGTCTCTGAAGCAATGAGGATTGCCAAATTTAGCTCAGAATCAGCCTCTAATAAAATTATATCTTCTAAGAGGAAACCCTTTCCCTCTCCCTTTCTTTCTCATATACATGTTCATTCACACATATAACTGGAAACAAAAATGACATTCAAAGAATCTTTAAGGTGGCTATGGAAAATAATGAATGAAAGAAAATGTTAGTTAAAGGTGAAAGGTGCCATATGTCCTCAAGAGCCTTGGCACAATGGGGAACCACCTAAATAGCTTTTTTAATGCACCCTGTTGTGTCTAGGTATTGAAGGCCATATGGTGCATTTCACTCTAAACTGTGAATTTCCTCAAACAGCTGTAACGTTCTTTTAATGTTTTCTGTATAATGATACATTTACAGCGTATTTTATCTAGCCATTTTCCTGACTTTTTAGAGGGTCCATGTACCCAATCCATAGAAAACTGGATATTAGTGTATCATTCATCTTCTGGTTGCATAAATATATTTTTTTCACTGGACATATTACCCAAAGGGTTGAATTTGTTGGTTGCTCTGCACTATAAGACATCCATTCAAGGTTGCTGCCCTTTCGTAAGACTATGAACAAGAACAATACACAAATAGTTACAGGATTAATCATGAAATTAGCTCTTTGTCTTCACAGAGGTACAGTTAATTTCCCTGTTTTTATTTTCACAAGATTAGCAGAGAAAACTGCATGGGCATGCATGGACAAATCAAGATGGACCCAAGATGAGATTGGTATATGTATAGTACAGCATTTCCTCTCCGTGTAGTTATAATTCTTTTGTGTAGCCCCTCCTATGATATGTCACCCTTTACATAGGTCACAGAACAGTTAATTCACTTTATTTCACTGCTGACTGGTAAATCATATTTTTTTAAATTATGATCAGTTATGGCAGTGTGAGATCTAACCTACAAAACTATTTAGGCAAATAAATCAAATGAGAAAAGTTATATTACCTTAAATATTATATTTTTCATATTATTTAATATATATATATATGTATATACATTTTCAGATTATAAAATAATTTTTTAAAATGATATTATTTAGCGTAAATGAAACTGATTCTCTCAGCCCAGAAAAATTACTTGAACAATTTTCTTACTGTCCTTTAAGGAAATCATGATTGATGAAGAAACTGATGTTCTTTTCTTATTGTTAGTGTATTTCCCATTTGTTATCACCTCCTTTCTGCAAAGGGGACAACATGTTTTACTAGTCATCAGTCTCTGCTGAATAATGCGTTGAACACATAGAAGTTTTATATGATAAACCACAGCAACTGAGCATCAAAGTGGTTCAGAAAGATTGGTTCTACAGCTTTAGATTTATTTCATCTTGTTTCCTGAAAATTAGATCACATACTCAATCACAACAACTAAAAATAGCCAAGAAAAAATAATTTTATAGATCAATCTATTTAATTATATAATCACTGACTCCTGTACAACATTCCAGATTACCATGTGAAAGAGCTCACACACATAAAAATGAACTGACTGATCCTTTAATAAAAGAACTTCTTCCAGAAATGCTCCAGTCAACAATAAGTATATATATATATATATATTTGTTATTTTTTACCCCAAAAGTAAAAAATAGCATAAATATTGAGAGCTTAGCTGGTTGTTTTAGTTTGTTTTGTTTTTCCTCCAGTGATTATATTCTAGATATTTGTATGTCCCCCCAGTCATGCCCAATGTGTTGGTGTGAAAACTGATGTTGCCATTTCCCCAAGCTCATTTGATTAAGATAACTCTGGCTCTGTCATAGTTCTCACT